CCGTCTCTTTGGACTGCACTGTGACACTGTGGTGTGCACGCGCCGCGTTTCGACGGGTAGCGTGCATCAGGTGCCCTTCCACCCGCTGGGTCTGGGCCGAAACATCTCGGTGTGGTAATCTTCTCGGAACATGGATACACCTTGATGTCGTTCTGGCGCCGCGGCTCGCTGCCGCCGTCGGGATCCTCGTTGGACTTACCACCCCGTCGTCTGTGCTACCCGACAGGCTGGGGCTGACGTCCTCGGGTCGTTCCCTTGTCCGCACCTGGACGTTGGAACGTTATCGCGCCATTTTGGCTGCGCTAGGTCGTCTCGGTGCCTACCTCAGGCCTGTTGGACGCACCTGCATGCCCGTTCAGGGGCTGTCATGGCACCTGGATTGCATCGGCTTCGCCTCCCTGGGCGCTGTCGTGAGCCGCCTGATCCGCGGCCCTGCGCGCGTTAGGTAATTTAGTCGCCTTCGCGGCCCGTTCGCGACCTTCCGCCGCTGGCGCTTCCGCCTGCGGCTGTATATGTCTATGTATATGTATATATATATATATATAAATATAACACCAGCCCCGCGCCGCTCAGTAGCTAATTAGGCTGGTCCGTGCCCCGGACCCCCTCTCGGCGACTGCTTCGCGCGTCCGCCCGCGACCAAAAAAAAACAACCACACCAGCCCATCCAGAGACGAAGCCCACTTGGAGCGTCTCGTGTGCCTCCGGGAGCCCCGTGGGGAGTCTTTTGCGAGCCTCTTGGAGGCCTCTGGGGCGCCTCTTGGGGCCTCCTGGGCGCCTCGTGGGGCCCTCTTGGGGCGCCCCTGGAAGCCGTAGGGGCGCTCCCAGAGCCATCTTGGAGAAGATCGATCAAACAAAAGGGTGGGTACCTAGTTCGCCTTGCCCCTCCAAGAGTGCCTAAACCGCCTCTTGGACCCCTCTTGGAGCGCTCTTGGGCGCTCGTGGCCGTCTTGGGGCCCTCTTGGGTTTCTCCTGGGGCCTTCATGGGCCCCCTTGGAGCTGTCTCGAGGCCTCGGAGGGCCATCGGAAGCGAAAAGGCGAGAATGCGCACGTCATAGATGCCAATCAGGTTTTGAAAGGATTTTGGCTTCTCGGGGGCCTCGTTTCCATAGCCACTTGGAGCCTTCTTGGAGCGGTCCTGGGACCTCTTGGAGCATCTTGGGGGCCATCTGGAGCCATCTTGAGCTTCCTGGGCCATCTTGGAGGTCATCTTGGGCTCTCTAAGGCCCTCTTGGGGCCACGCCTCGCAACACTTCCCTTCTGGGGTCCAGGGGAGGGGGCGGGGGGAGGGGTCAAGTTACCCCCTCCCCGCCCGCAAGCCGTCTCCCTCACTCCCACCCGCCCTCCCAACACATACGTAGCACCCGAGTCTGGCCCGAGCCTGAGCACATTCAGCAGTCGTCTTGGGATGGACAGCTACAGGGGGCCAATCTGCCGCCGCCGCCGCCGCCGCCGCCGCCCCCCGCTGCCAAACCGCCGCTGCCGCCACCGCCCCCCGCTGCCAAACCGCCGCCGCCGCCGCCGCAACCACTGCCGCCACCGCTACCGCCGCCGCCGCCGCCGCCGCCGCAGCGGCCGCCGCCGCCGCCGCCGCCTCCGCCGCCGCCGCCGCCGCAGCCGCCGCAGCCGCCGCCGCCGCCGTCGCCGCCGCCCCCGCTGCCAAACCGCCGCCGCCGCCGCAGCCGCTGCCGCTGCCGCCGCTTCCGCCGCCGCCACCGCCGCCGCCGCCGCCGCCGCCGCCGCCGCCGCCCCCGCCCCCGCCGTCGCCGCCGCCGCCGCCGCAGCCGCCGCAGCCGCCGCCACCGCCGCCGCAGCTGCCGCAGCCGCCGCCGCCGCCAAGTGTATTCTGTATTGTTTTGTTGTCAGGGATTGTTGGGGGGCCGCATCGGGTTGGCTGCGCATGTTCCGAATTTGGAGGCAGAGTGTGTTTTGCATTGTTGTTTTACAAGGAGTGGTGGGGGGGTGTCGGCATGGACCCTGGTTGGCCCCCAGTCGCCTGGGGGAGGGGGTGTTTATTGATAGGGAACAGTGATACACCTCCCCCGGAAGAGGGAGGGGTCGGAAGAGAAGCCGCTCGAACCCACCTACGCCCAGAGGGCTGGTGGGACTCACCGAGCTCGGCTGCGTCGAAGGACGATGCCAACATTGATCTGTTTTATCCTGATATCGACTGGGCAGCATATTTTCCATAGTTGGAGGCCTCAGCAAGGGGCTGTTGCGGTACACCACATGTGCCAGTTCTCGAAGGTGGGCCAGGAATGTAAACGAGGGAAACGCCATATGAATGGTATTCCCCCTGCCGAGCCAATTGCTGTTTTTTGTTGTTGTTCGAGGGCAGCCATGGCCTCGCGATCTGTCGTGTACATAGGATGGGCATGTCTGGAATACCGCACGAAACAGGAAAGGCGCCAGGACGAGATATGTCGCAACAACAGGCTGCGCGACGAGCAAAACTTAGGACGCGACTCGCACCATGCAGTAGACACTCTCGCCCTTGCTAGGTCTGTCTCCTTCCTACTCGGTATACCAGCCGCGGAACGCTCATTGCGCAAACGCATCTCCCGACGTCGTGCCTTCACATCCGTTTGTCATCGGCCAACTGACGCGCTTAGAGCCTCCTCCACCCACAGTCTTTAAATTTGGAAGGGACAGTCATCAAACTCGAAATGAGAGGCTCGAAGCCGAACATTTCGTTCAGCTAGCTTGTCTTGGAAACTCGAATTTATTCCGGCGACAGTGGCTTAACATGAGCAGGTGCATCACGCAGCACCTGACCGAACAGACTCAGCCGTGATACTCTAAGGAGGGAGGAAGCCAGCAGACGTTCTGCAGCTGCCAGTATTGCCGTATCTGTAGGACCGCCTTTCTCGAAGTTGTGCATCATTCGTATGGTTCGGTATCTCCGAGTGCACTGTCATTTCAATCTGGTCGAGCCCGACTTACGCATCCAGGGCTGGAGACAGTTTGGGCCAAGGTTCTGAAACGGAACGTAAGAAGTGGCGGAAGCGGTATGTTCGGAGTCGCGGAAAAAAAGCGTTCGCCCGCCTCGACCACCCAGAGGGCAGAACCCGAGGATTGAATCGGACTGGTGCCAGAGCCTCATAGGGGGAGGAGGGGGAGGAGGAGGAGGGGGAGGAGGAGGAGGAGAATGAGGAGGAGAGAGAGGAGAGAGAGGAGGAGGAGGAGGAGAAAGAGGAGGAGTTGGAGGA